GTTACCTTTAATAATAGCAGCCCTTTGGTTTTCCAGATATTGTGATTTAATGTTAGTCATGGATTATTGAGTAAAGCTTTTGAACTCTTAATGCCATATATGCACTGTGGTCTTTGTTCTCCTTCAGTCAACTGAATTCCTGATTGCTTCTGCATTAACACTTTTTCACATTAAATGTAGAAATATATCATTATTTACAGTTTTGGATCACTGGTTTCCATTTACAACATCGACTTCAAAATTTCCACAGTTGTCTGGGAACCATTTATGAAGTGGTGCTGGTTAGTTTAGTAAACATCTCATTTCTTCTTCAGAAATGCTGATGAAACACTGACTGCATTGATTGATTTTTCCCTCCACTTTCGTGCACCTCCATGCTGCTCTGTGTAAGTTGATGATGAAAGCGCTGTTCCCTCCAACCTCACTCCAAGAGCACAGGTTGTCGATACCCAATTTATACAAATCCTGTTCAATCCAAGGAGCTTTTGAGGTATTATGTCCACTTTCTCCAGCCTTCACTTTAAGCTTTTCAATAAAGACATAAGAAGTATAACTCTGTGTGCGTGTGAACCACATTTTTTAAAAATAATTTAACAGGTGTTGACACGTCTGCCTGTGAATACGTCTCCATCATGGTGGGTTATGATATGAGTTTGAAACTTTACGGGTGTCGCGGTGAAATCGCAGTGATCGGTCGAGGTCTGAGAACTAACTGGCAACATGGCTGAGGTGATCTGTAGTTTTCGTTACAGTGGAATGACTTATCCTCTTAAATCCGTTTGCCGGGCATTCACAATCTTTTCTTTGAAAGCCTGAAAGAGCCTTTTAGATGTTGGCACGGTGACATGCCACCTGGCCCTTGATGTCAGTTTTAAATAAGACAGCCTGGAACACTTTATAATTTTATAGATTTAAAGGTAAAAATGTACTTATTTTGTGGCTGATCTTTAATTGATATTTACTTATTTAAATGCGTAAATATGACTCCAAAGTTTGAGTCATATGCTCTTCATTTGAGATTCACATGTCTGTCTCTGCTCAGTCCTGCTGTATTTTTGAACCTGTGGAAAAGTTCATACTTATTGTCTAAACTTCCCATTTAATTAAGATTACAGTTCATGTGGAAATTCATTTTCCCTTTTAGTGTGACCCACATTGGTTGGGTGTTAAAACAATATTAACAACCTCTTACTTTTTGTTTAATTGCATCGCCTAAAAATAATTTCTATTGTTTCCTAAAGTCCAGGGTTATGTCATTAATTATTTTCACTAATGCACAAAAAAGATAGTTTTGTAAAATGAAAATTTAATTGGGAGAAAAGTGAACGGCTAGTTGAGTATCAAAATAGTTACTGCAGCCTATGATTAAATACGATGGATGCATATATTTCTACATCCATTCAGCTGCTTGTTATACAACTTGAGCCAGACCTGACATGGCTCTGGTCCAGATCTGATCAACCTGAGCTCCCTTCCAGTTAAGCAAGTGTGCGTCTGTAACAGGATCATTTAAACCTGTCGTTTGTTTTCAGATTAGAGATGCAGAGTTAACACTGCTGACACGTGACTGGTCACATCAGAGTCGAATTAAAAAGGTGAGGACATTGGGCACAAAGGTCTTATGTAATATCTTCAGGACAGGTTATTGTTAGAACGACAACAATGACAGGCCTGCCAAAAAAAACGCAGACGGATTTACCGACACACTACTCGTCTTAAATTGGCTTCCTTACCTTACAAAAATATCTCCCAAGAGCTGTCGGGGGATTACAGTGATCTGGTTACGTTCGGATTCTGGGACACAAAAACTGAAGAAAAAAACAACAGTTGCTCGACATTTGACTCCAAAATTTGTAAAATCAAAAGAAGAGCTTTTCTTTATCCTTTTTTCTTCTAAATAAACCATGTAGACAATATATAATATCATAAAGTAAGCGTTTTTGGAATATAACTTAACTTCACCTTGATACCTGTGAAACAGAAGCTTGAAACAGGCAGTAGATTTATTCAACTTAAGATAATCCATAGGTGGCATCGAACACCACAACAATTGTATAAGTGGAACTTGCCCCCTACGGACGAATGTTGGAGATGTGATGGTCAAAATGCTTCGATTTTACATATCTTATGGAGCTGTCCGGCACTTCGGGATTGGTAGGAAAATATAATGGAGGTAATTTTCAGTGTTCTAAAAAGGAGATTTGGTATCTCACCAAAACTGTCCATACTTGGTATAACCACAGAACTTTCTGATGGAGATTTTTCCAGTTATACAAAAAGATGGATTATTCTGGCTCTTACGGGTCCTGCTAAGACATTGGCGGAAAAAGAACC